CTTCTAACGTACCGCAACTATAGGAGCGTTTCCCCTACTTGCTTTCAGTTCCGAGTCGTAAGATAAGTAAGATAGGTAGGTACGTCGGTTGAAAATCAATTATTAAAATACGGTGATTAGAGCACTGCACTCGGTAGTTACCAAGCTTTTGAAAAAGACGAAAAACGAGAGTCCAATCTACAATTGTATAAACAGAGTAACAAGTCTTCTTCTTCTTCTTCTTCTTCTTCTTCTTATTCGCATTTAAAGCTTATTACGTTGCGCATACATTAGCACATTGCGTGCTCTCAACTTTGTGTTCTATAAATGCACTTCCACAGTTATTAATTGAGAGCTTTCGATGCCAATATCAATGCATAAATTTGTATATTGTGTGGCAAGCACAATGATACTCTATGCCCAGGGAAGTCGAGAAAATTTCCAACCCGAAACCCTCGACCGGACCGGGAATCGAACCCGCCACCTCCGGCTTGGTAATACCGTGCCTTTACTGACTAAGCTACGATGCTGTGGGATTGCTGAAACTACCGCGCGATCATACTGCTGATCACTTCCAAGGTTCTCTCCCAAATACTAAGCCTCCGTCTATAATCTATTGAAACATAATTCGTTGGGCAATACCAGCATACAACACATTAGATCGATACAGCTTGTCAGATAAACAACTGATCCAAGCACTGATTGGATGGTTGTCAAGTTTAAGATTGTCTTTATCTAAATGTGTACAACATTATTGTCAGAACTATTTGCATTGATTTAGCACGGATAATGTTAAACAGGGACTACAAGAGCGAATCAAGAACCTACGAAGAAGAATAAAAATAAGCCAGATATCCTATCTTATCTTAGAGATAAACTGACGCGATTGGTCAAGGAAACCATGAATCAAGTGATATGCGTTGTTTGAGTTACGCGTAAGATAAAATACATAAGAGCAAGTGGTTCAAGAGAAGATAATGTTAGCCTCCCACCACGAGTTCAGGCTGACGGCGATGAAATTGAGGTGGTTTACAAATTCGTGTATCTCGGCTCACTGGTGACTGCCGATAATTACACCAGCAGAGAAATCCATAGACACACTACCGGGGGCGATCCCGGCGTAGTGGTTAACATCCATACCTCTCACGCTAAAGTCACGAGTTCAAATCTCACCCCCGGACAAGTCACAAATGACCCAAGAGTGTTAAAGTGACTATAATAAAAAAAAAAAAAGAAAATAGACACACTACCCAAGTAGTCCACAAGCCAGCTAATCGCATTTTTGCAATATAAGGCTGTTATACGACTGATATAAAGTTCGGAACCCTACACAGCAAAAAATAAATTTTAATATTACATCCAAGATGTTCAATCATGTCAAAAATCTCATGTAATTTTTATGGCCACAAAAATAAACAAATACAGTAAAATCAGCGTAATGTCAGTTCATGCACTATAGAGATGAACTAGCCTAAGGCTAAAAATCTCTTAAATAAAGAATAAAAAAAAAATAAAAAAAAACTTCATGCACTGTATTAATGATAATTTTGTTCTTTTTGGTAAGTAATAATACATCATATTTTCGACATCCACAGTGCATCCACTTTGATATGATATTAAAATTAATTTTTTGCTGTGTATATTTACCTTATATCGCAAAAAAAAGCGATTATCGGGTAGTTAGCGGGCTTGGTGGCTACTTGGGTATGGCAGAGAATCGTGATTACTTTGGACTCCAAAGGACACTCCGGTCGAATAAAGTTTACCACACCACGTAGCTGACTATCTAAAAAAACGCTTATTAGAGTGGTAGTCCTCTACCAATGCGCTGGATTACCGAGGTGAAGCAATCGGTTAAGTTGTGTGAATGAAACCTTTGTACGATACAAGCAATTAGTGACGTCACTAATTGCGTTTACGTTGATTTTTTGGATTACTAGTACAACAATATTTCACGATCTGCTTCACCACTCTCTGTATCTCATTGGTCCTCTACGGCCACAAGACAAGTAGTATGCTCGTGGAGAACCAACACCACCAACGTAAGGCGTACCATCTATGGTGGAGTGTAGATGGAAAACAGAATGTGAAGGAGACGAATGAACCACGAATTGCACCAGCTACCGGAAAAACCACTCATTGTTCAAATAGCAAAAATGGGTAACTACAAAGGGCTGATGCTTCGAAGTAGTAAGAATGCCGGACGATAATGACTCGACTGGAACAAAACAAAGAGGCGTGCAGCGGACAAGAAGGATTGCCCAGGTGAAAGGTGACCTGTGAGGCCTTCGCAGACAGTGTTAAATGAAGATGACCTCTGTGTACAGTATAGGTCAGACAGGCCTTAGTCTGAATGGTTAGGCAAATAAGTGTCTCGAATACATATCCTAACTTTTATTTATAGCAACTGCCATTTCTTATCCTCAGGGATACTTATTCTTATCAAATTTGCTGGTCTCTTCAAATTCACTTCAAATTAGACATTTTTCATGTTTGTACTATTCTGTATTGTTTAAGGAATTAATAATGTGCCACCCATCACTTCTTTTCGAAACGCCATAAAGCTCTTTTAAATAGCAAAGACCCGTCATAGAACAAGCAAAACAACAAACCGAGCACTTCCTCTATAGCCACATGGAAAATCCACAACGTTTCCGTTGTTGTTGGTTTCGAAATTTCGCAACATAAACGGCTTGAAATTAGCATTAAAACCGAAACTGTCGGTCGGTATGCTTTCCGACGCTATTTTCCATGTCGAACGTTTAGCGACGCCCGCCTTCACCTTTGCCATTGCCTCCCTCCTAGGAGGGCGCCGACAGACGACGATGGATCCGCGCTGATGACTCAGAACGGAATCACTCATTTCATGCACTCCACACCCAGCCCAGCTTGGTTTCGCTTATTTCGAGCCGGTTGTGTTCACACTTCTATGCATTCAGTTGAATGGAGCTGAAAAACGATCCGTTTGGCACATTCTCTCCCGCTCCTTTGCCTCCTTCCGGAGTAGAAGGTGCACCATTGCGACCACTGGAGCTGGCAGCAGTAGTGGAACCGAAAGCAAGTATACTATTTTGATTGCATGCGAAAATTTCTCATTATTTGGTTACCAATTCCCTCCCCCCAACCTCTCGCAACTCCTTTTGGTACCACTGTCACTGGAATACTATAAAGAGACCGAAAGTGATATCAAAGTCATGTCGTCAGAGACACTAGCAATGCCAACAGCTCCAGAGTGCAATAAAACTTTACGGTTTTGTTCCTCATCTGGCAGAGTGTGGCAATGTTGCCAGAATTTTGGTGGCGTTTTGCAGTATATTGCTACTCCCGTAAATGGCTCAATCCGATATCACTGCAACTCATCACAGCCCAATTATGCTATGGCTGTCTTTAACAACTCCCTATCCCTAGCGGTAAACGATCCTGAACTGGGAGCAGCATGTCTCGAAAATTGAAACTAGCACGCTACTAATTAAATAAACTCTTTGATTCATTCGGAATGATATGATGAATGCTTTTTGTAATTAATTAGTGTTTTTATTAGTCGCATCAATCATACTCCGTAGCACACACTTCACTTGGCTCAGCTATCGGACCAAGCCCTGCGTCGATGGGGCGTCGTTCGAAAGCGGATGTCGAGAGTACCTACGGATCAAACGACGTTGACGCAACGGGAGCAGACACATGGGCAATGAAGGAGACCGAGACGAACTTGACGAGCTGTTGGAACGCAAATATTTGCTACAAAGTGCCTAGGATGGATTAAATTTATTTGCTCGTTCATGCTGCTTCTAAATAGTTCTAGGTACGAAAGAGAGTCTGTTGGTACGATGTTCGGTGCATTCGATGTTTGTATAGAAGGTGGAACAAATTAGCTACGCCTCAGTTGTATGATGCAACATAACGATGCTAATCGAGTGGGAGTGAAGTCGCGATCGAGCAAGGTTCGGTTGGTTCATGCACTGTCACATTATCTTCGGTTGGCGTTCGACCTTCACCTAGAGTTTTATGTACGTTAGCTACCTTCAGAACAAGATTTCATACTTTGACTGATGGAAAGAAATTACGACTATCGCTTGGTATGTCAACGTACGTGATTTGTTTTCCGACGAACTTGTTTTCCGTGCTGAGCACCAATGCTACCGACGCCAGGGAAGCAGCTCCCACACCTGGACCCTACGTATCGACCCATCAACTCATGAACTGGGGACCAACGGCTTTACTTCCCGTGATCAAAGATGTTATGCCTCAGAACATCCCGGTGGCGCCGACTGGGATCTAACCCAAGCCTGCTGGGGTGAGAGACAATCATGCTTACCACTACACCACCGGCGCCGTTATTATTTTTTGTTGAAAGCCATGTATAAAATGTAACTTCTCAAAACGACTCACATGCTTTGAAATTACCAAAGTTATTTATTAAATTGATACATCATGTTACGTCTATGTGTTTTTATTTTTGTTCATTGTCATCATTTTATTTTTCTTCTAATTTTATTGGAGTTTCATCCTAATATCGATTATTTTTAAAATAAATTTAGTTTTCGCTTAAACATTTTAATGTCATTTAATTCAATTCACGTGATAGCAGTTCCATGATCTGTACCGTGCTGTAAACTAAACCTAATGAGACCTTGAAGCACTTTTCGTTCCATCAACACACTGTACTGCCGTCTAAACTCGACTTTGTATTTGATTGCCGAAAATGAAGATTGGCAGCTTGAGCAGAGCCGTCTGTTCGCCTGCATCCACTTTGCTTTTGCACGATACATATTTAATTCAAACCAAAGCCAAAACGAACGTGTTTCGAATCAGCTGAACTGCACTCAGTTGCTGTGAGTCTGTTCTCAATTAACGCTAATTGACCGGCAAAAGTTATAAGCTGTGTCATGCATAAGCAGTTGCTGACGGCTGCTATATTTAGAGTTCCAAAATACGAATCGTGAATTTATACCATAAATCTCCAGCGCACATGAAAAGGAAAAATTAAACTGATTATTTCTCTTCTGATTTCCCATTTGCAGATACGCGAAAATGTCTACGACCAGAACACAAGGAAACCACATCAGTAGCTATACCAGCAACAGTCGGTCTGAGCAATTTTAATACATATCGAAAGTATTCAGAAGAAAACGAAAATATCATTTAGAATAACACCGACGCAAACGACCAACATTTTTCAAAGCTTCATACCCAGACACCGTTGTTATTGTTCTTGTTGCTGGATGAGAAAATGGCTGTAATCCGCTCACCGGAAGTGCTGACCAATGCCGTCTCCTGGTGGAACAAGTTTGTGCTGGTGCTGATCTTCCTGGAGGTGTTTGCCCACGTTGAAACGCTCGATCTAGGTGAGTACAGATGGCGTTTGGTTTCAGCTTTTTGGAATTGGACACACGGCTGGAAGTTGAAGAGAGATTTTTTTGTGGGTACATTATATAGAAACCATATACACACTAATCGAGTCAGTACGGTTTTACCGAGTTTTTGAATTGCGGAACTGTTCGGGAAAAGTTTAAGAATCTGTGGAAAATTTATTAATGAGAAAATTTGTTCTGAACTTGTTCATACTTAGTTCTGTTAACCCCATTTAATGATAGAAAATAAAGTTGGTCGTTTTTATTGATTCCTTACGGACAACGGTCATTTGAATTTTTACCGACTTTTTCAGCAATTCAAAAACCCAGTAAAAAATACCGACTCCTGTAAAAAAATCTTAGTGTGTATACAATAATCATCACATTTCCTAATATGTGTAGTAGACCTAATCATTTACACAAAAAAGATTGGAATCCGCCCAGGCAACAACACTAATTCCATATACGTTGGTCTCGAATGATTCCGTTTACGCGAGGGAATCTACACGTAGCCTATGGGATTTGATCTAATAGGGACCAACATGGAATATCTCGCGATGCTGAACATATAGAAGGTTACTGTCTTCGGCAAAAATGTTCACTAGATCAAGATCTAATGGTTTATTGATAGAAATTCGGAATTTTCTCACTACGTGGCGCTACTGTTCTTGAATTTGTGATTTCCATCCTTGCCATCTAGGAAGTTGCTGTCTTCGGCAAAGTTGTTCAGTGGACCAAGACCTTCATTTTTAAAAATAAATTAGTTGATAATTCGGAAACTTTGTCCTGCTGCTGTATATGTGAGATATTCTTCGTGCTTTATAACAATAACCTGTCATTCTAAGAAAATATAACATTATGAAATATGCCCTTAAACATTGTTTGCTGCAGGAGACGATTTCAAGCAACACAAAAGTCCAACATGGAATGTAGTCAAGGAGAGTCTACTTCGTCATTTAGCAATATCACTTCTATCATTCTTTCGTAATTTTCACCCAGCTGCTATTGTTAGTTTGCGTGTTGAAATTTAAATAACAATCATATTTGGTATGGTTGTAAAAAATAATCCGGAAATAAAACGAAGCACAGAATGCTTTTGGTGGAAATTTGCTACGTTTAGTATGTGGACTGCCATGTTGAATTTCCCGTTTAGAAAAAAAATAAATGAGAATTTGGTGTTTGATCGATCAATGTTAGCTTAGGTTTCTGATAGTGTACTTTTTACATTTGATGTATATATTCCTTCCATCCCAAAAGAAGTTCGTCAAGAAGTCACGTTCGTGTCGTGAGTGACAAAGCGCTGCAGCTCGGTTAGTTTTTGGAGTTTCAAGATCTCCAAGTACTTCTACAACCGTTGTTTCCTTTTATGCAATCAGTTCATAAATCTCAGCATGCGTCATATATATAACTCCCAGCGCCGGTCCCAGAGCTCGAATGTCTTGGGCGACGTCTGCATTGTCGTTGCTGCTTTCATTGACATTTCCGCTGATCTCAGATGGCAAAAGAGCGAAAAGAGGATTTCAAAATATCGCATAAAAAAGGAAATCACAAGTTCAGGCACACTAGCACCGTGAGAAAATTCTGAACTTCTGTCTACCAACAATAAGGTCTTGATCCACTGAACAACTTTGCCGAAGTAAGCAACTTCCTAGATGGCAAGGATTTCAAGATATCACACAAACAACGGTATCACAAATTAAGCACACTAGCGCCGCGTAGTGAGGAAATTCCGAACTTCTATCATCCAAAAATAAGTTTTTGATCCACTGAACAACTTCGTCGAAGAAAGCAACTTCCTAGATGACAAAGGTTCCAAGATATCACAAAAACAAGGGCATCATTAATTTATGCACACTAGCTACTAAATTCCGAACTTCTGTCCACCAACCTTTAGGACTTGATCCACTGAACAACTTTGCCCAAGACATTATTTTTTAATTTATTTATTTCGTCAAGCAAAGTAGACCACATACAATGGTTACAATGTTTTACTCACATACTATGCATTATTTCTGTTATGTTTTAGTTGGGTTTTAATTTCTTCTTTTGACATAGTGATGCTAATGACTTCACAGTGTAGATTATACTGTCGCATCATTCGATTGAAGGGGCCATTTTTTGCCAAATTTGTTCTGTGTGATTTTTCTGAGAATAATTTTCGTGTTCTTAGATGCCGACAGGGTGTGTAGAAGTTTAATTGTGAAAGGTGGTGAAAGTATTTCTGATGATTCTATGCGATGTGAAATAATGTCATTGATGAAGAAAAGCATTGCAAATTCGCGGCGTTCTTTGAGTGTTTGTAAGTTACAGCGTGCTTCATATGATGGAAGAGGAAATGCGGTCCATTTCAATTTGCGAAGGGCATATAAAAGGAATTGTTTTTGGACGGATTCTATGCGTTCCTCGTGTATGGCAATGTACGGATTCTATACTAGGTTACAGTATTCCAGAATAGGTCTTACGTATGTAATATATAATAATTTGATAGTGTATGGGTCTTGAAAATTATAGCTGAACCTCTTAATGAAGCCCAACATACTATTTGCTTTCGTTATGATTGTATTATAACGTTCTACAAAAGTGAGTTTGGAGTCTAGGATCACACCAAGGTCCCTTACCATTTTACTTTTTTCTACTTTTTGGTTGCCTAAAAATATTTCAAAAAGAGGTGTTTCTATTTTTCTGCTAAATACAATTGCGTTGCATTTTTTTACATTGAGTTGGAGTAGACTTTCACTACACCAAGTGTTGAATACGTTGAATTCATTCTGGAATTCTGCTGTGACGATAGAATTACTTATTTCTATGAAGAGCTTCATGTCGTCTGCATATATAAGAACTTTTATTTTTAACCTTAACCTTCTATATGTCCAGGATCGCGAGTTATTCCATGTTGGTCCCTAGTAGATCAAATCCCATATGCCACGTGTACTATATTTACGCGAATTCGATTTACACGGTACGTATATTACTCGCACTCTTCGGAGGGAGAGTGTATGAATAAACAAACTGATCATCTCTCTCGCACCACGTAGCTTACAACACGGGAAGAAATCCGATTCCATTTTCATGAATAAAAAATCATGAAATGAAAAAACGTTCCATGCCATGAAATCATAACAATGATCTACACTTTTATGATGGAAATTCATGATTTCATAATGCAGCGGAATCATGACCGCTACAAGCGTTACACGTACTTGGCAAACCGTATTCATAAAATGCACTAAATAGGTAGCTCTTATACGCCTTTTGCCTTCCTCCTTATGGTAGTCTAGTGGTTCAAGTATGGGTTTAATGATCCCAATGTGCTTGGTTCGAATCCTGTCTGACGCTTTATTTTATTTTGTTTTACATGTTTTGGTTCAAAAGCTGAAAGTTAAATTCATGAATTTAGTTCATGGTTTCAACTCGGATGATTCATGATTTTAGGAATCTTGACTGCGTAACGCATAAATAGCTCATGATATCATGAATATTATTCATGGTGCATTTTCCTAACATGATAATACTCTATGTTCATGAAATAATGAGTAATTTTACTCGTTTTGGTGATTGGATTTGTTCTCGTGTACTCCCTTCCCTGCTCCCTGCTCCCTGCTTTTCCACAATGAGAGTAACACACTGCAACCTAGTTCAAGATGGATAGATTTATAGGTGATCAAGTACTCACGGTCCACTAGTGTTGGTGAGTTATTTGCCGTTAATTTTCAGGAAAAGTTCACTATGTTGCCATAAAAGGCGCAAAAAAAAAAATACTGATGGATTTGGACAGATTTGGACCCGTTTCATATGATCAGAAGGTATATGTTGGCTACAAATGCCATCCTAAATTGATTTTCGACGCGAGTGATGTGAATTTCACGAAGAAACACGAGAAGGATTGACTATAGCAAAACATGCCATATACAATCGTCATAGTTCCTTTTAGTACTGACTATTAAACTAACACTTTTTCCTTCTGTGGCACCTTCTTATAAGGTGCCTAGAACCTGGTTGTCAACCTGATTATTTGACTGGTTGTTGGATCTCCTTTCGATCAGTTCATACAACCGAGCCAAAATTTCACAACTGCGCCACACACAATCCAATCTGTTTTTCGAATAGTACGTCAACTTGTTGGCCAACAACCATTTAAAATACACATGGTTTTGATGCGACTTCCACATTCACACTGCAACCTAGTTGTAGACTTAGGCTCCGCCCATCATAAATCAAACCGCTTTGATTTTACTTCAACCGATTCACCAAATGTCATTTTTGTATTGCACACGATACAATCGAGCATCATCGCAACCTGTTTGTCAACCAGATTGCAGTGTGTTTGGCGTCCATGACATGTTAACCAGATTAGCAAACATAAACGAGCTGGTTACAGTTGCATATATAAAATCCTTCAACAGTTTACAGTTGCTTCACAGTGATATAAATCTAGAAAAACATTTTAAATGATCTTATGTGCTTTTAAAGATTCTCTTCATCGACTTTATCTTTTGTTAACAACTCAGCTGCAAAAACATTTTCTGTTGTGCTTGACGTTCTAGATGCTAGATGAAAACCTCCTTGATCAAACTATGTGGCAAAAAATAGCATGAAATCTGTGTGTATAACCGTGATTACCAAAAGAGACAGTCGATGGATCGATCAAAGCAGATAGGGCCTTTTAAAGAGTTCATCTAGAAATTGTGAAAATGCGTGGGTGTCCACCTTTTGTCCATCCTAAATATCCACAATTATCAAATTAAACGAAGTATATTTTGGCGGGCATTAAGCAGTGAAACCACTTTGCCAATCTGCCCATTTGACTTTTTAAGTGCCAAGCTGTCCCTGAAACCATGTTGATGTAGTCAATTTCGAACTATTTGAGGTGTAACGTGAATTACAAACTCATTCTCGATACGTTTTTCTATTGTAGGAGAGCTGTCATGGAGAACAGGTCTTGCATCGTTAATAGATGGAAGACATCGCTGCTAACAATTATTTTATTTGTCGGG